CAAAGAGATGGAGATAGGTTAAGTCTGTGGGCAAAAATTTGATGGATAATATGTAATGAGGGATCTGGGTTTCCTAGTACATAAGACTATAAGAGCAGAATTAGGCCATTCAGCCCATTGGGTCTGCTTCACCATTTGACCATGGCTGATATGTTTCTCAACCCCACTCTCCTGCCTTCTCCCCATAACCGTTGAACCCCATACTAATCGAGAACCTATCTATCTCTGTCTTAAATACACTCAATGACTTGGCCTCGACTTCCACAGCTTCACCACCCTCTGGCTGAAGAAATTCCTGCTCAAGTCAGTTCTAACTGGTTGTCTCTTCACTCTAAGGTTGTGCCCTTGAGTCCTGATATCACCTACTTGTGGAAACATCTTCTCCACATCCACTGTGGGCAAGCCTGTCAGTATTCTGTAAGTTTTAATCTGATCCCCCTGACCCTTCTGAACTCCATTGTGTACAGACCTAGAGTCCTCAATCTCTCCTCATATGACAAGCCCTTCATCCCCAGGATCATTCTTGTAAAGCTCCTCTGGACCCCCTCCAATGCCAGAAAAGATTTACCAGGATGTTGCGGGAATGAAGGGTTTGAGTTATAAAGAGAGGCTGGATAGACTGGGATTTTTTTCACGAGAGTGTAGAAGGTTGAGGGGTGACCTTATAGAGGTTTATAAAATCATAGATAAGGTGAATGGTAGATGTCTTTTCCCAATGGTGGGGCATTTCAAGACAACGGGCTATTTTTATGGTGAGAAGAAAAAGATTTAACAAAGACACGAGGGGCAACTTTTTTTATACAGGCAGTGGTTCGAGTGTGGAATGAACGTCCAGAGAAAGTGGTGGACATGGGCAGAGTTACAACATTTAAAAGTCTTCTGGATAAGCACATGAATTGGAAATGTTTGGAGGAAAATAAGCCAAGAGCAGGCAAGTGGGATTAGTTTAGTTTGGGATTATGGTCAGCATGGACTTGTTAGGCCGAAGGGTCTGTTTCCAAGCTGTATGACTATATGACTCTATATGGAGCCCAAAACTGCTCATAATATTACAAATGCAGTCTGACCAGAGCCTTATACAGCCTCAGCAGTACATTTCTGCTCTGATAGTACAGCCCTTTTGAAAGGAATGTTAACATTGTACTTGTTTTCCTAACTATCAATTGAATCTGCATGTCAGCCTTAAGAGAATCCTGAAATGGGATTCCTAAATCCCTTGGAGCTTCAGATTTCCAAAGCCTTTCATCATTTAGAAAATAGTCTATGTCTCTATTCTTTCTACCAAAGTGCATTTCTTCACACTCTCCCACATTGTATTCCATGCCCCTTCTTTCCCAATCTCCAAGCCTGTCCAACCTCCCCGACTCCTCAAACTATCTGTCTCTCCAGCTATCTTTGTGTAATGTGAAAACTTAGTGACAATGGCCTCAGTTCCTTTAACCAGATCATTAATATATATCAAGAATAGTTGCGGTCCCAACACGGACCCCTGTGGAACTCCACCAGTCACAGGCTGCCTGAAGAAGACCCCTTGATCCCCTCTCTCTGCCTTCTGCCAGTCAACAATGAACCACAAAAATTAGTACACTGACACAGCAAGTAATTAGCAAGGTAAGTTTTACTGCAGCTGAACAGTGCAGTGCTCCACCTCTGGAGTACTGTGTACATCTTACAATCTCCTTATTTGTAAAGAAGGTATAATTGTTTTGGAAGTAGTTCAGGGTAGATCCATTCGACCCATTCCTGGTGTGGTGAGTCTATCTTATGAACAAAGGTAGAACAACAGAATGGTACAGTGGCTCAATGGTTAACACTGCTGCCTTACAGCACCAGGGACTTGGGTTCAATTCCATTGGGTGATAGTCTGTGTGGAGTTTGTAATTTTTCTGTGTGGGTTTCCTTTGTGTGCTCTGGTTTCCTCCCACAGTCCACCTGTGTGCAGGTTAGGTGGATAGGCCATGCTACATTGCCCATAGTGTCCAGAGACGTGCAGACTAGATGGGTTAGCCATGGGAAATGCAGGGTTACAGGGATAAGGGTGGGGTTGGTTGGGATGCTCTTTGGAGGGTTGGTGTGGACTCCATAGGCCGAAAAGCCTGCTTCTACATTGGAGGGATTCTGTAACTCTAATAGAATTATCTTATTGAAATATACAAGATATTGAGGGAGACTAGGAATACTGGATATATGTGGGGGGGGAGAGGTGGAGACTATAAGTGGTTACAAAATTTAAGAAGAGGAAGTGTCCCTTTTAGGATATGAGGAGATTTTCTTTTCCTTAGATGTTGTTAGAGTGTACCTTCCCTAGAAGGGAGTGGAGGCTAGATCTTTAAATTTATTCAACGTGACTTAACACAAATTTTTGATAGTCAACTGGCTCAAGGATTTGGGGGTGCAGACAGGAGAGAGGTTTCAAGTCTACAACCAGATCCATTACGTTCTTATTGAATGGAAGAGCATGTTCAAAGGGCCAGATGGCCTGCTCCTAAATGTTATATTCCTGTGATCAATGATCTCATCAAAGGAAGCTTCAGTTTTACTCTGTCGTGAAATTTTTTTTTTTTTTTGATAACTTTGTGTGCAAGGATCTGATTATTATGATTTTCTGAATTGGTCATCTGCTTCCATACAGCTTATGGAAATGACCAATTTTCTTGCAATGAAAACATTGTCTGAACAGTTGTATACTACTCCCACTTGTGAGCCTTTTTGGTACCACAGTATTGGCAGGGTCATATAGCATTTTGTCCTCTCTTCTTTTCTCAGATTCCTTTCACTATATTGTTCTTAATGCAAGAATAGATCCTGTGCATCTCCTATACCAAAGACTTTATCTCTCTTATGAGGACAGATCTGTTCTGCTTCACAACCTTTACTTCTCTCATTAACTGAATGGCTTTCTGCAAACTGAGGCCTTCCTTTGTCTGTAATAAATCTGACAATGATTCATCAGCAATGCCTACAACTATGTAGTCTTTTCAAATCTCTGTATTTATGTCTCTCAATTAATCTGTAGTGATGATTAATGAAATCAGCTAATAATTTATCAAGATTCTGGACCCTGAATGATATTTGCTGTTTCCAGAATTTTGTGAGTTCTGACAGCAACATACTAATCAAAAATTTTAGAGCTTCCAAAAATTTGTCTAATCCTTCATTAACACCTTGTTGAGCTGTTATATTATCTGATATGTTTTTAACAGGATAAAGAAGTGCATTACCTTGTTTTCCATTCATCTTGCTGTCTCAGTTAAAGCCATTTTATTCCTTAAAAATAGTCTTTTCCATGATGCCTAATTCCATGTCTGATCTGGTCCAGCTCTGTGTGAAAATCGTCTTGACAACGAAAGAACAGGAGCTAAGCCTTTTTGTGCTTACTAGGTATTCTCATTCTTTGTTCCAAATTATCTCACAGGAGTGGAGGCTTCCCTACTTCTTTTGCAGTAATGGAGGTTTCTCCCACATATCTAGGGCTTGCTGTAACTCCTGCAGAATTATCTCATTTTCCCTTGAAACATCATGTGCTAGACCAAGAATATTTCGATAAAATCTTGAAAACATTTTAAGCTGCTCTGTCTAACTTCCCAATGATTAATCTTCTGTCCCTGTGCTCCCAAAGCAGTATTTTTGCTGTCACCTTCCTGCTTTTGCTTCAAGGTCCCTGAAGTAATGACATTGTTCTGATTTGGAATTGCTGAGTGGTTCACTTTAAAATCACCCATTCCACCTGATTATTTCTACACCATTTACTGTACTTTTACAAACTTGTCCAAGTTTTTCTCACCCAATCCCTAACTTCCACTCAGTCTGTATCTGGAATTGAGGCCTTCACACAGACGCTGGGCCATGATCTAGCCTGGATATCTCTGCTATGGATTTGAGATAACAAGGTGGAGAGCTGGATCAGCGTCTGTGTGAAGGCCTCAATTCCAGATACAGACTGAGTGGAAG